AATCCTGTTTGTTAAATCAATCCCCATTTCGGATTTTGAAGTCAGATAGAACCGATGTCCGACAGCGACGGTCCAACGCCTCACAACAGTAAGAATCTTTCGGGCATTAGCCGAATCTGTTCCATTTCCCTTTCATTGAAGCTAAGGTTGTACGAACGATTTTTCGAGAAAGGGGTAGCTGCCAAGGATGCCATGAGGGTCAAGGGACAAAGGACAGAACGGTGGAGTTGAGGTTCTAATACGGAAACCTCTACCTCCGTTTGACTGCCGCCTCCCCATACCCCACCGCTTGCAGAAAAGTAGATCGTCTAAGACAGTCCTGATATGCCAAATCATTTTACATCTTTCTTGGATTGCTTCTCTAATGGGTCACGTAGGTCACATTAGGCTCCCTGGATGGGGACCTCAGGATGATCGTACCCGATGGCTAGAGACACTAAGTGATATGGCTGAGTGTCGTAAACAGCGGCGTTCGTGCGTCTTCTCAATTTCTTTGCAACCTTAGACCAATGAAATTCTCTATTTTCTACTCGACTGAACTTTCAACTTTCCTGTCTTCTCCTATTCTTCATCCAAATGGTCCGCCAAAGATAGCAGCCAAAACCGGCGCACGAAAGTGCATGGTTAATGGTTGTACAATGTGAATCAGGATCTAGATTGCTTCCCCCCATATAGAAGAACTCCTTCTGTCATGATCTGTTTGGCACATTATCTGGTCCACTAATTTTTGTTACATATCTTCATTTGGAATAAACAGTAGAAGATTCAAACTCCTTAGTCACAAGAATCTACTGTTGAGTTATGCCAACCGACAACCTGGGAGAAGGGGTAGTAAACCACACATCAGCATTGTACGGGATCGTAAATACTGGATGTGGTATTGCTTCGGACCCATACAACTGTTCTGATTAACTAATCGCTTGTCACCGAGTTCATATTCATGTACAATGTAATTGTGTGCTGACTTCCCTCCGGTTAAATCCATTCTTCAGACTAGCTTCCGTTCGACCCACCAATGTTTGCACACGCAACAACGCGATCAATCTTCTCATGTCTAAGAGATAGCTAGAAAAAACAAACAAGAATCTGCACCCCGATGGTTATCCCGGTAGTCAAAACCAAAGTGACATTGGAATCAGACAACGTCCGTGCGAATTCAACGGCGCTGTCGTTCAGTGCTTTGTAGCACTTGCTTCCACGTGACACGGTCGGGAACAAATTTAATGTACTCTCCTTTCTGTCCTTCCCACTTCTTCATTGGTATCCTTTCTCAGAGCAGTTTAATTGCACCACGACGCTCTACTCCCGTTTGGTTCTGTGCCATGCTGTACTACAAAATCGAAGAACGTTTCTCGCATTTCCTGTGTGTTACGTCTTAGTCGTGGAGAAAGTCATCACCTCATGAATGCCAGTTCTAAGCTAGACAAGACTAGCGATATCATCATTGTACAGCGTAATACAGTGAAGCAAACTTCACTGATCACTGCCAAACTCATATTGCACACAAAGTAAGTTAGAATGTGTAAGAAGGATAGGAATTGGACTTATTTTAGGGGATCGGAGAATAAAGTGAACCGCTATGGTTAACAGAGTACACAATCCAACTGTTCATACATACTACTTCATGCATTCTTGTAACTGGCTTGCAACTATGGGTAGTATTATACCACAATGTAGACAAAGTGTTCAACTTTCCGGAACTCATTTGGATAATACACTGGTGTATTCAGCTTGTTTGGTCTATGGATGGAATATCGATGGAGCCGCTGTATTTGGTTTGTTGCCTTGGTCGCATCAAACACAAAGATCATTAGAATTCCGGTTCGCAATATACCTGTTCTGTGAAAACGAACACCTCCATGATTTCATCCGCCCACTCCCTCTCACAATCTCGCTAATCATACTAGTCGATTTGTGAATCGATGATTAGTTTACCTCCTAGACCATACAGTTATCGGTTTGTACTTTCGAAAAACACCTTTGTTGATTGCTCACTGTCGCATACAAGATCACGTGTTTCGAACAATCGATCCCCTTCCAAATAGAACACAATTTGCCGATATCGACTTGTCGATGAAAAATAGTGTAGGTATGCTTGCCATACTAGACTGAGTCAT